CCTGGGCCTTTGGAACTCTGTGGAACGTGTCAGGGTTTAGCTCAGTCCAGGATATACAAGTTGCAATTTTCACTTAAAAGTTGCCACCTGGAATCCAGACTTGGTCTTCGGTGGCCAGGAAGCAGAGCTGCGCGTGGGCTTCTCCCCGACCTGCTGCACACATGGCACTCCAGCTCCAGTGTTTTGCAGACGTGGTCTTTGCTTTCCGGCATCTTTCAACCTAACAGAGATAAAAAGAACCCCCGATAAAAAGGGACTTCAAGGGAGTCTCTTGAAAAGAAAGCAGATATGCTTAAAGTATTAACACATTGGCTCTAAGTGTAGTTCATATTTATAACCGCATGAGGAATTTGTATGGGGTGTGGGAAGAAAGTTCCAAGACATCGAAATAGAGAGACTTGAGAGGTGGGGGCTCGGGGCCACGCACTTCTCTTGGCCAGCCGGCTCTCCTCTGAGCAGCTGGGATCTTAAGGACTGCAAGGAAGAGCAGGGAGATGGGTTACCTTCTGGAGAGAATGCTCCAGATGAAAATGGTGACCTGGTTTAAGATTCTGTTTTGACGAATGAATCATGCAGAATATCATACCATGGAATTTGTGTTTCCTGATGGGAAGTTGTTGGTGAGGCTTGTCATACAGCTCTAATGAGGTTCACACCTTTAATTAGTGCTTAAACTTCTCTGGCGAGGTCTGTGTCAGGAAACTCAGACAGCACTGTTATGCTCATTTCACATTTGGAAACTTGAGGAGCACTAGGGCTTATCTTGGACTACACGTGGGTGACCATCTGGGCTGGTCTGCCAGGAACAGCAATGGTTTCTGCATCTTGTCTTACTGTCATTATTAATAGTGCCCCCGTTCTCTGTCACCCGCCCTTTGGTTTTCATCTAAATATAAGGTCACCCTAACCAGCTGACACACTGCTGGCAGCACTAGGACTGAAGACCCTACATTTCAATCACCAGGTCATCCATGTAAGCAAATGTTTTCCCAGTTGGCAAAAGTCCTTAATGAGTGAGTTACAGGGTGACATACAGCAATGTGTCCCTTAGAAAGGAGACATGTCACACATCAAACATGAGGTCTCTGGTTGAAACATTTTGGTTTTGTTTGTTTTTCACTTTGTTTTGTTTTTCTTTCACGGTTATCAGTGCCTTTGAAAATCACATTTATGACCTCGGCAAGCATTGGTTATTTCTTTTATGTCCTAATGTTGTGATTTGAAGCTATCTTATCCTTAGGATTAAAAAAAAAAATTGAAACTTATCAGAGTAATTCCATGTATGTTTGGTTCTAGCAATGATTTCTCTCTTGAAAAACTTACATAAAGGAGGTTGACATGCTTTCCATAGTCCTGTAATTTTTTAAAAATATATATATATTATTGATTTTTTACAGAGAGAAAGGGAGAGGGATAGAGAGTTAGAAACATCCATGAGAGAGAAACATCAATCAGCTGCCTCCTGAACACCCCCTACTGGGGATGTGTCCGCAACCAAGGTAAATGCCCTTGACCGGAATCGAACCTGGGACTCTTCAGTCCACAGGCCGACGCTCTAGCCACTGAGCCAAATTGGTCAGGGCCACAGTCCTGTAATTTAATGGGGCTGTTGAGAAGTCATATGTAATTATGATTAATGATTATTATGATAGATGCCCCTTTAAGTTGTGTTATCAAAACCAACAAGGAGCCAGTAGTATAATAGGTTAGCTCTGACTGCAAAATCACCATCTTTCATCCCATCACTTGCCTTTCCTTTTATTTTATTTTAATTTTTTAAAATATGTTTTTTATTGATTCAGAGAGAGGAAGGGAGAGGGAGAGATAGAAACATCAATGATGAGAGAGAATCATTGATTGGCTGCCTCCTGCACCTATGGATCGAACCCAAAATCCGGGCATGTGCCCTGGCCGTGACCTCCTGGTTCATGGGCCAATGTTCAACCACTGAGCCACACTAGCCGGACTTGTCTTTCCTTTTAAATGACACTTTTTTTGGTGTGTTAGTTCATTTTGAGTCATGAATTGCCAACATAGAGCGATTAACCAAGAAATAGTCTTGCACCTTCCTTGGTTAACAGAAATGGGGTTGAACATTTAGCCCCTGGTATCATTATTGTAGCTCTCTATATAACTGGAGGAAAATCAAATTTCAAGTTTTTCCCGCTTCCCTTCTGCCTTTCACAGCAAATTTCAAAGGATAGCAGTAGGCAGATTGGTTTATAATGGCATTTTTTAAACCCAGAAATTACATTAAACCGAAAAGCATGGAGTACTTCAAATAGTTTTATTCCAGAAAACCTCTCCACAGCAACAGCAATGACAAGAATTGTATTTTTCATAAAGATCTGACTTACAGAGCTTACGTCGATGGCAGAGTTCAGTTACTGTTTTCCAGAGTCCCCTCTCAGAAAAACTGACATTCAGCAAAATGTTCATAGTAAGTTCTGTGTGCTTTGGGGAGAAATGTAGAGTCAGTGCAACAGCAGCATTAATACAGCGCCTTCTCACATTGTTTTCCATTCCTGTCCTCAAGGAGGAAGAACAAAGGGCCAGTAGCCAGTCCAAAAGCAGCTTTCCCCCATAGAATGGTCAGGAAGTTCAACTATTCAAGAGAACATGTCGTGCTGCAATATACGTCCAGATTTCATGGTCCTTGATGATTTATGTCAATTCACTGGGAATGCCTTTCTCTGTTGTGCATTCCACATAGAGTTTGGCTTTCAGGAACATCTACAGAGGAGGCAGCTTTGTCCACGGGGGAGAGGAGGGTCCCAGCACGTGGTCTGCTGAGGGGGTGCCTGGGGCGGCCTGGAAACTAAATGGAGTTCAGAACCAGTGGGAGAGCTGCCCCCATTATGTCCATCTGGGGGTTAATGGGGCCTCTGAAGGGCTGTTCTCACACTTTCCAGATAGCCCCAAGAAAGTATCATCTGCATCTAAAAATGGATTTTTTCCCGGCTTGGATTGAACTGGTTAGGAACCCACACACACTTGGGGCAGGGCCGGGTGCTGTCTGTTGTAGGTGCACTCTTATCTCTTTTACTCTGGGGATTTTGTCTCTGTGCTATGTCAAGTGACAAGGAGGAGCTGCTAGGAGCAGGCTGTTCACACACCAAAGCAAATCGGGTTGGTGTTCCAGCCCCAGGATCAGGGACATCTGGTTTAGACTGAACTCTGGGGTTGCAACCTCTTCTCTCCTGTCCCTTCCTCTCCCCTCTCCTGCCCTCCCCTTTGGCCCCCTCCTCTCCCCTCCCCTCCCTTTCTCTCTCGTCCCTTCCTCTCCCCTCTCCTGCCCTCCCCTTTCGCCCCCTCCTCTCCCCTCCTCTCCCTTTCTCTCTCTCTCTCATCAGACCCCCCATCCTTCTGACATTAATAATTTGAAGACAAATAACAACAGCGATACAAGGATCAGGATAACCTGGACCTGAGGGACTGAACGCAGATCCCTCCTGAACCTGAAGACATAGTTAGGTTAAAACAAGTTTCATCTGGCATTCGCCTGAGGGCCACCAGTACAGACACTGTGTAAGATTAGATCCTCCTTAAAGCAAGATAACCAACTAATCCTGTTGCAAAATCATGGATACCTCAAGTTACCTGCCCTGTCCACCCACCTATGTGCATGCATTCATAGGAGATTCACACATCTTAGACTTCAAGGCAAGTCCTGTTAGGAGTTTCTTCTTCCCTTTCCATTGTGAGTTCCGCTCACTCCCTGGCACGTCCACTTTCCTTTTGGTCTATATCCTTTGTTCTCTAGGGGCTTCCGCATCTGTTTGCCCTAAATGGCCAAAATATGTCCCCCACACGGCCAAACTCACAGGGACCCAAGGACAGAATCTGGAGGATAGGCCAGCCATTGTTCTGCACCAATTCTTTATCTAAATTAATCTAAAGCCTTGCCTGATTGGCCTGTGACCTGGGTCAAGGTATGGTCAGCAGGCTGACCATTGTCCTGTTCCCCCCTCAACTGAAGCGGCCCACTGCACACTACAATATCACATTCTTCCTACTAGTGGTTGCACTACTTTTAGATATTGATGTTGCTTAGATTATTTTTCCATCTTTTTTGTGAACATTGTGCCTATTTTCACTTTCTGGGAAATTTGCCAGTTTTTCAAGGACTGGGCAAAAAACAAAATAAATATTTGTAGGTCGTTTAAAAGGACAAAGTAAGTCGGACATACCTCTGCCCATCCAAAGTAAAGCATTTTAGTTGCTTTTCAGATACCTTAAACTAACTTGAGAGAGTCAGAAGGTTGATTTCACTAAGTGTACTTTTCAGCTCTGTGACCCACGGTGTGTGTGTGTGTGTGTGTGTGTGTGTGTGTGTTTGTGTGTGTTTGTGCGTGTGTGTGTGTGTGTGTGTGTGTGTGTGTGTGTGTATTGGGGAAAGGTCCGGAGTCCAAGTGTAGGCAAATGAGTACAGACTTTTTAAAGCCTAGTTTAAGTGCTTGAAATGGACCGTGTCAAAAATAAACCACCCCTGTGTATGCTCATCAGGCTGCAAGTAGTGCCAGAAAGTGTTTCCTTAACAACATTCAGCAGAAGCATCAGACACTTTTCTAAAAAAAAAAAAAAAAAGTTTAAGGGATTTCACTGAAATTCGGTCCGTTCAGCAGTTGGCTGTTTATAAATACGTGTAGCAGCCTATGTGGGAAGCTGACTCAGTGTCTGAGATTAAAGAGACCAGAAGGTTCGCGCCGGTGATCCCGGTGCAATGTTTCCCACCCCCGGGCTGCGAGGGCTCAGCGGTTGGCCGAGGTGGAAACAGGCAGCCCGTGTCCCTGGGAGGGAGGCCCGTCACCTGTTGACTCCAAAAATGTATATGGAACCAAAAAAGACCCCAAAGAGCTGCAGCAATCTTGAGAAAGAACAATGTTGGAGATATCAAAAGACCTGAAATAAAACTATACTACAGAACACTGTAATCAAAACAGCCTGATATTGGTATAAGAACAAGTATGTAGGTCAGTAGAACAGAACAGAGAGCCCAGAAATATTCGCACGGGAGTGGAGAATAGTTTGGGGTGGGGTTTCGCACCGTCTCCTCCCCCCCACCCCCGGATCCCCTTCCAGGCGCTGTTGGAGAGCTCTCAGACGTGCGCTGGGAAGTTTAAAGAGCAGAGGGGAGTTGGTGCGGTAGGCAGGGACAATGGAAGAAAATGAAAGCCAGAAATGTGAGCCGTGCCTTCCTCATCCAGCAGACAGCAGACTCACGCGGGGTAAGTAACAGACTCATTCAAAGATGGAGTTACGGTTCCGCGCGCCCCTCGCCGCTGGCTGCGTTTTATAAGTGGAGACAGGGCTCAGGGCAAAGAAAAGGAGTTATTTCCTGGGGCGGTGCGTTTTCAGAACTGAGCGGAAAGCTGTGATTTCTTGGGTGTTTTACTTTATCTCCGGCAGGATTTTCGGAAGTGGCGTGGTGATGTCCCTCTTGGAGCACAGTCAGCAGGCAGTGGCTGCTGTATCTCTAGGCAATGACAAATGTGTCGCTAAAAGCAGCTTTTCCTACTCCCTGCTCCAGCGCGGGAGAAGCAGTTGTTTCTCTGGAGCCCTCCCTGGGGCGGCAGCATTCCCATTCATTGGTTGGGGGATTTCACGAGGCAAATGCATGGTGGATGCAAGTTTTGTAGTGTCTGCGAGTTAAATCCCAGAGCTTGGGGATGTTTCATTTTACAGGTCAGAGCAGCCGGGGAGCCGTGTACATCTGGATGATAGGTGGGACTGAGTCTTCTGTGTGTTTTCATTCAAAAGTTGAGAGTTGTTAGACAATGTTGGCGAGTTTTCTTTGGGCAGTTTCCCTTTAATTGTTTTTATAATGGACTTGTCTTTTCCGTAGGGAATTTCCAGAAGCTTATGTTGTTCCAAAAAAAATTCACAGAGGGGTTGGGTAGAGAAAAGTCTTATCTGCTCTCCAGAGCCTGCCGCCAGAACCTATCCTGCAGCACCATGCAGACAGCTGTTCATAAACCACCCCTACCCACCCACCCCAGGCTCATCTGGGCCCAGTTAGCAGCTCAAAGTCTTGCTTTCGGGACTGCAACGCTGTGTGGGAGTAGGGATTGTGCACAGGGGAAAAGGTGTGTGTGTGTGTGTGTGTGTGTGTTTTAAGACTGAAGGGAAGTAACAAATGACTCATCCACACTGAAAATGCAAAAGTCAGCCAGACAGAAGAAAATGCAATTACAAGTGGTAGAGCTCCCCTTCCTCTCCCCTCCTCACCCCCAACCCCCCACCT